CTATTTATGTAGGTTTGATATATGTTTTATACTTATTGGTGAAACGGGATTTATGTTTAACACAACAATACGATGATGTTGGATAGTGTAAAGGTTTTTTAATAGTAATTACAAATKATTGATTATACTGAATTTGGCCAATATATTGTTTTGTCCATGTTGCATCTTATATATTACACTATTATAATAATTATTTATATTATGTTTGAAAATAACTTTATAGTATTACTAATTCAAATATTTAACATTTTTTCAATAAATGATTGTAAATTATTAAACATTTAATCTCTGAAGAAAATTAGTTGATTTTCTGACATAACAGTACAATTATTTAGGTACAACMTATTACGATTTATTTAGCAGGTATTTGTTTTTACATTATTATTTAAACGATCTTGTATGAACAATAAATAACCTGGACACATATTTTGTTATAAAAAATTATATTTTTGGTTAAATTTATGTTTATTTCATGTGTTTGCCATCATGCGGAATCTGAACCATTTACTGGGAAACAGGAAAATCAGCATAACAGTTTAAAAACTTGGTAATGAAGYCATTTATAAATGGAAACATTTACAGAAAAATTGTATACTTAAATAGCAATTTGTAATTTAATAATTGCATGAATATATTGTATCATTATTTAAGATTTAGATTTTGAGTGAAGTGAGGAATGTATTGGTATTTTGTAATTTATTTTCCGCGTTTGACAGATTATTTTGTAGTACACAAATTTATTCCCTCTCTCTCACCCGTCATCATTGTTTCCGTCTTTCTTTATTATAAATTGATTTAAAAACTTATACGATTTATTTTCACTTCACCCATGTCTTTGAATTAAAATTTGTTTTTATTCCTCTGTATATGATGCTCGATAAACACAAATATTGTAGTGGAAGAGAGGAAATTGTGATTTATTAGATATTTTGCGGAGTAAAGGAGTGTGTCTATTCGTTCATTATGAAACAGCATAATATACGCTTGATGGATCACATATTCACATTTTGTTTGAATTGTTTGGGGTAAAACGTAACTAACAGTGGTGACAAAATATTTTATTATGTCGTTTAGTTCTGAATACCAATCGTGTTTAACATTTAATTGAAATGAAATAAAAATTCCAAACAAACCAGCTATACTGCCGGCTTTATATAGATGGGTACTTAAATATTATTTGTGCAAGGTGGTGAGATTCTCATAGCTCATTAGACACTTATATTATGTGATTGTTGTTACATTTATTCATTGTTTCGTACCTGTAAGGCTTGAGGCCAGCTGCAACTGTTGTTGAGATTGGCTGCAAGTCCGGTGTCTGAGCAGGGTAACGCCAACGAACCTGGCGTGTACTGGGCCGATTGCACCGAGATGATCGTACCGGTTGGGCACGTCAGCGCCAACGCTTGGGTCTCGCAGCCCACCCTGTGATATGTCCTGAGCGTACCGGATAACAGTGCTGAGGAAAAAAAAATTTAAACCTCGAGACATTAATATTTTATTTAATAAATTTTGATCATTATAGGTACCTATAGCTAGTTGTTACTTATACATATTTTTTTTTTCAACGAATCGCAAATGCATTTTTTTAATATCTCGCAAAGTATAATGATAGATGGGCTCAAAATAATACCCAAAAGCCGGTAGGTAGGTATAATTATCTACCTACCTTTTATAAAATATTGTAAAATATCATACGTGCGCGTGGTGTTTATGTGCGGAAAGTCATCGGCTTAGGATGCGTTCTCCCATAGGGGTACACACGAACTTTTGCGTGTGACGTATCAATATTTTGGGCGTTTCCTTTTTATTTACCTAATGGATTCGCGAGTAGCAAAGGGTGTGGGACCGTGTAGGGTTAGAGTGGGAGTTATGCCATTGCTATTCTTCATCACGCTCAGTTTCGTTTCGATCCATTTTCACTGCGGTTTACGTTCTATTTGCTCGGTTGCACAACAATGACTACCAAACTTGTTTGGCCTTACCAAATTCAGAAAAAAAAATATTCATATATAATATTATGTACACGTAATAATATACATATTATATTCTACGCCATAACTTACATGAAAATAAATGTATAAATATATCCTACGATGCGTTATACAACGCAGAGTTATTGATGATAATAATTTTATTTGCCACAGATGCGTATTTTAAATAAAATAATACATTTTTTTTCGTATTCAAATATTGTAAACTCGTATTACTGTCGTATAAATGTATTTTTATTATTACTCTATAATGACGTTCTAAACTTATATTAGATTAAATATGTTTCAATCAAATTTGTAGCAATAATTCTTACAAACGTCATCACCTAGATATATATGCAAAACCAATTTAAAAACAAATATATTTGTTATCTTATTTTAGATTTTCAATGAAGAAAAATAATATGCAAATGTAAAAATGATGTTTTTCAGTTTTTTTTTT